GAAGTGTGCTGGACGTTCCAGATTTTTGGGTCCTGCTTTCCAAATTGCTATGTTTACCAGTTAATATATTACCCCTCTGGATTTCCACACTGTTTTAGAGCAAGGTCAACTATCAACTTTGACATGTTTTTCGATGTTCTCACTGGGAGTCTGGGAGTCTGGGTGACATGCACTGTCTCTCTTTGGATCTTGACATTTTCCAGCCAGATGTTGAATTCAGTCGGAATATACCGCGTTTACCCTAATATGTAGAAAAATTCCAATCCTGCAGAGACAGACAGTCACCCACTGTGCAGAGAGTGGATGAATATTGCAGGATCTTTGGCGACGCTTCAGTAGCCAAATTTTCGCCTTCAGAAGATCTTGCCGACATATTTAGATTGAAATTCTTGCATTTAATATATTTCTCAGAGAAGTTCCTAATGAGCTCAGTTTACCAATTTTCATTGCAGTGGAAGGTGGTGTAACTGTAACGCGGTGGTAGGGTTGGTTTTTCGATACATTTTCTTATATTGACATGAGAATATATTACCTATACAGAATTCCACACTGCCTTTGGAATTCCACACTGGACTTGTCATTGTGATTTATTTGTACCTAATCAATTTTACAAGTTTGTATGGCACAGCACTTGACAATTTCTCAGGACACAAACGCACAATTATTAAAAACCACAAACTTCTGCCCGCTTTTACCTGAATTTTCATTAATTCTGTCATTTCTGTGTTTCTGCCAATATTCTGGAAGCTGGATTCAGTGGATTGGATGCACCTTGCAGGCTTGCAGTGCACCATACCTAATTATAATAGGTAACAAGCAATATATTTTTTCAGAAACCAGTTTATTTTTAATAAATTCCTTTATCTAGGCCTAGTTCAAATTTCAAAATTTTATTCAATATCTATTCAAGATAATGCTAGATTGCTGGTATGTATCCATCATAATCAATACCATACTTGACTGTAGAGTGTAGACTGATCTCATTATTCTCATAGACTCATAGTCATAGCCCCATAGGACTTGAATACCTACTCAGCTACTGTACTGTAAAGGACAAACCAGAGATTTTTTAGAACCAGTTCATTTTTAATTTCCTTATTATTTACTCAAGTCTTACTGTCTTAAACCAATTTCTCATGTATGATAATGCTGGTATCCAATCTATCCATGATACTTTACTGGTCTACTTAGCTAGCCTAGCTATAGGACTCAAAAATGAACTTGAGAGAGAGTCTAAAAAAACTCTCTGCTTTGCCCTGAGTAAACTGTAACCTAGTCACCGAAGACTGCACAAGACCAGTACTCCAGTAGACTGCTGTGAAGTCTGTCTCATCCCCACCCCACTAATCACATTCCACGAAATCCTTATGTCGTATCCTATCTAGTCTGAAATTTATAAGGTACCAATTGAAGTTTCACTAATCAAAATACATATTTTTCATAAGATGAACCACCAGTAACAACAGTTAACAACGTACGAACTAACTACTCCGCGGTACTAGAAGCCACACTTGACTGTGACTTGAGCCTCTCATCTCTCCTATGGGTAGTAACATCAACGCAAATAGGCAGTAAAAATGGCTGCCAAAATGCGTAGACTCGCAAAAAACTCTACGGACGAAAAATAAGTTAGAAATTAAAATACAGTTATGCGTTATACTTTTAAAATGCAATATTTTTACAAATTTTGTATGACTGACAAAACTTTTATTATGAAATTGTTACAGGAACTAGTTCTCGAGTCGCAGTGACGTCACAACCGCAAGGCGGTTGGCGAAAAGATTGAAACTCCGAAAAACAACGTAAACCCGTAGATTTTCTGTTTCTGTTATACTTTCAAAGGTTTGTCTTGAAACATACGAAATAATTCCCTCCAAGTCGCTAAAAGTTATTTGCATAATTAGCATCCACAAAATATACCTCCTTAGTAATGATTCGCGATTTGCGTTCAGCTCAACCTCTACTAAATTGTGTAGGGAATAAACATTTTAATAATTTGAAACGACTAAGGGCATGTGCAGTTAAAACTATATTAAGGAATAAGATGACTGATACATTACCTAGCGAGAGTTCGTTAATACGACTGAATAGATGCTACCTTCATTCATATGCATCTTATGATGCGATTTGCAGGACAAGGCAGAAATACAAAATATAATTTACACTCGAGTAGCAAAAAATCCAAGAAGTTATTAAACGAACTAGCGGTTTCAGCGTTTACTATGCTTTAGGCATGTCGCCGATTCTTAACATCGCAGAACATTCACTGCATTTTGCAGTCTTGAACTCGCAACTCACTGCTACAAATACTGCTGTTTGACCGCCCGGCCTCCTTGCCAATTATGACCAGAAACTGTCGCACAGAGCTTTGATCGAACCCGCGCCTGTCTTGGTACTCTGAACTGTAACCACTGGGCCACCCTGCCACCACTAGTACTAGGCCCCCCTGCCCAGTTATTTTATTGGTTTAATTCCCTCGTTTGAGTGTAATTTTAATGTCACTTGAAAACTGCGTTTTCATTCATCATTTACTGAACTCAAGAAAATGTACGAATTATTATTCAAAATTATGGCAAAACTTTGTATCTACGCGATTGCACGTCAAGCTATCAACTACAGGGAACATAGTAGAACACACTTTTGAATTTCAAACATTATATTGAGAAATCTGAAGTCACTTGAAAGAGGCCAGATATCACTACCTACGAAACAAGTACACTTCACAAAAAAAATATTCGACGAGGCACAATTTATAGTATTTCAGTATAACTGAATTTAAAACGCTAAACAGGAAGACGTTGAAAATTTTGAATGCTAATAGCCAAGCCGACCAGCGAAACGGGCAGGTTATCAAACCTCAAAAAAGGGAACACAAAATTGATTGCTGGAAGATGTTAGCTAATATTTTTGTTGAAATTCTGCATTTTGTCACAAAAACTATCATTTATCGAGTGAAAAAATACCTAAATTCTATTCTTGCTATCACAGAAAATGCTGTCTCTATATATTAAAAAATTGTACTTGATATTCCAATTCAGGACTGAATAACCAAGCAAAAGATAAATCAAGAGATAGTATGAATGGGGGGCAAAATGTTTACAGGAACAAAGAAACAAAATCCAACAACACGAAGCATGAGCTATCATGCATGAACAAGGCAATTAAATAGCCCCAATTAAATAGCCCCACACTTAACTTGTTCACTAAGGTTCAAACATTATAAAGGCTTAAGATTGTTTTCAGCAAACTATGACAATTTTTGTAATTAGATGAGCCAGTAATTAAACTGAAATCATGCGTCGTAAAATATAGCAGTTACAATTCAGATATTGATATTATAAAACATAAGCAATAAGAAATATATAATAATGATACATGGTATATGATTTATAATTGAAGTGAAACTAGAGTGCTATATATAACATGAGTATAGATGTTTTCAAATACATCGTAGATTGATGTACAATGGCACCAACGATGCCCGCATGTAAAAATATAATCTACTTTGATTAAATGGAATTATGAAAGCTAGGCGTAAAACTTGAGCATGCACAACAAAGGAAAGACTTTAACGGCCGGTAGTCAAGGCGACGATTTGTCCCGACACAAATGTCAGAATGTACAGTAAGTTCAACGCAATCATCCATATAGGAAATTCGTCTTATCAGTAACCATATACAGCACCGACGTTAGCTTGTTGACGTAAAAGGAAAATTTTTAATATGAATCATATAACGCTCTTTCAGAAACGTTTCATACTCCTATCCCATATTTGACAAGATTGTTGGTCCAATACAAGATTGTTGGACAACTCCAATACGGAGCTAGATTGACGGTTGAAGTGTGAGATCAAGTCTCGGGTGTAGTACAACATTGTTGAAACGCGTTTAAATCAATAAGTGTTCTTAAAACTCAATGTCTTGCATCTGGCACTAGAGCATGGCACTAAATGTTTGTACTTGAAATAAAAAAAGTCTTGATACGGAACTTGAGCACCGCTCAAGTGGCACATTATAAGACAACGATTTTTTGCAAACAATGCGGAGCATAGATTGCGGCGAAACACTGAATAAAGATGACGTCTTCCAATACATTCTGTACTGAAGTCCAGTACAATCCAGTCTGTTCAGTAAATTCTGTACTGGAATCAATGCGCGCTGGAATCAATGTCCGCTGGAATCAATGCGCGCTGTACAGTCAACTTTGCAGCCCAGCCAATGAAAACAATATCTTATTTGTGTCCTCGTTTGTAACAAAAGTAACACCAATATTGATGCAAGACACAAGTCATGTTGGCTAGCAATTAATGTTGGTTACGGTCAACGAGGTCCCAATTGCGAGCGGGACAGTATGAAGCGATCGAGGCTTATAACTTAAAGGACCAGTGATAAATGCAGAAGATGTTGCTGTCCACATAGAGAACGCCAAGACATAAAGCGCTCTAACGTTACAGTTTAGAAGACCAGAGATAGAAGCAGCAGATGTTGCTGTTTAAATGGTGAGTGCGAAGACATAAGGCGCTCTAACGTTACAGTTTAAAAGACCAGAGATAGAAGTAGCAGCTGTTGCTGTTCAAATGGATGGAGCGCGAAGACATAAGGCGCTCTAACGTTACAGTTTAAAAGACCAGAGATAGAAGCAGCAGATGTTGATGAAAGCTGAGAAGAAAGTATCAATCCTGGCATCGCTGGGAGGAGGCACTTCGCTCTTCAGCTCCTTACGAACGCAGCGAAACCTCTGCACACAGAAAGTCTAATTGGATTGATCGTTTCAAACTTATAAATCACTAGCATTATTCTATTCTGGTTCCTACGCTGATCACCAATCCTTAGTTTATTTCCTGGCAAAGTGGAAGTATGCTTTGTTTTACTGCAAGTCAACAAGGCTGAGTATTTCATTAAAATTTAATTAGCTCCGTCAATCAATCACACCACAAGACGTCTTCATGAATCAGTTTCTCTTTTCAGAGAAACTATTCTCTAGTCTACACCCTCATTGATTCATTGAAGATTGTATAAAATAGGAACAAATTTTTATTCATCTATCTTCTTTATATGAATCATTTTTCACATCAAAAAGACACATAATACCATGAAAGTTCGTTTGAATAGCAATATCTATTGATTAACGAGAAGATGCTCCTGGCATGAAGTTTAATGAACAAGAATCACGCACCGTGTTACACGGCATCCGCAGGTTGGTGGAGATGACGATGATAGCGTCGGGACAGTTTGGGCTCATCACCGCGACGTGTTCCTCGTTGCCGTCAGAGGATGTCACGTTTCTAAGATAAATTTCATATATTGATCAGAAACGATTATTATAGAAAATTAAAATATATCTGTTTTTCCTTACAGCCCCGCAGTCACCAAAAATATCATATGCCTCCATGCCCTCAGTCAAAAGGCAATAAAATGGTCCCAATGAAGGGAAAATAATACATCTGTTTTTCCTTACAGCCCTGCAGTCACCAAGAATATCATATGCCTCCATGCACTCAGTCAAAAGGTAATAAAATGGTCCCAACGAAGGGGAAATGTAAGTAAATGCAAGCCTCTACGGTGCACAACTGACCTGACGTTGTGCTGATACTTGTGGTGCAGCATCTTGACGAGCTCTTGATGCCAGCGCAAAGGCTGCCTTACAAAGGCACTCAATCTCGGGTCAACTTCCTCGACAGGCTGCACCTCCACCAGACGCAGCAGCTCTTCCACCTCGCTGAATGTCACTCCACTACCTCCGCTACGGTTCACGCCGCTTCCCTAGACATACGAATTATAGGCTGAAATTTTTCAGGATACTTCCACAACCACAATTTTTGCCAAATGGCCACATTTTTGTAGAAGGCCACCTTTTTTTGTAAAATAGCCATAATTTGGGTAAAAAAACAACAGTTTTTTGTATAATGGCCATAATTTTAATAAAATGTCCAAAATTTTAGTTAAACAACACAATCTTTTACGAAACGCGAACAAATTAGCCTTGTCCTAATCCCTTAGTGCAAATGTAATGTTTAATAATCTAGCCGAATTTTCTGGTGTTTGAAAGCAGTTTGAATAATTTGAGATCAATTCACACTGAATCAACCTAATATAGTAATTCAAGAACCAATCTTACCTTCTGCCGGTCGTCCTCTGTGTGGGGGCTCGTGAGTCGCTTCCAGAGGATGTCGCGTCTACAAGAAATATTATTTTTCAAGTTTCGAAATATGACCTGTGATGATAATCTATACCTGATGAACCTTCATCATATATATACAGGATATAGTCTTAAAATACAATACGAACATGCATAATAATCAGATTTTTAAACTGAAATGTATATTTTCAATCAGGATCATGAGTGGCTTTAGCGAATGCATTCAGTATTAAATTCAAACAAAAATGGCCGCGGTACCGCAAGACAGTTGGGAAGCAAGTCTTCACAGTCTTGAAATTTCGGCTGAAATTGTACATCTGATTTTTGGGCAATGATCCCAATAAATAAAAAATCCTTCAATTTAATTTCCAGTTGTGCGACAGTTGTTGGGCTATGGCCACAATATATTAGAAACATTTTAATATCACGTCCGGCTGTGCTACTGTTGTTGGGCAATAATCACGATGTCTAGTACTACACTTCAGCAAACTGCAGAACTACACTTCAGCATACTGTATATCTTAAAATAATCTCTCCTTCATGAATGAACAGCTCTGAGACTGTAGCAGGGGCGTAACAGATGGTCTTGCTACATGTCTATTTCCCCTCATCTTTTAAGTTAGCAGGTAATGGCATTACCTGCAGTGTATTTTGGCGAGCGTGAAGACGGACTTAATTCTGGTGACGGCTTCCCTGGCCTGCGTGAGCAACATCTGCTCCATGGTCACCTCGTACGGGGAGTAGTAGCCCAGGTAGTTCACGGTCTCCTCCCTGAATATGCAGAATTTATATTTTAAAATTGAAACCTGACAAATTTCGAAGCAGTAGCATGCAAACAACGTCAGAGAAACAGCGAGACGAAGCAGCGTACTAAGTGATTTCCTAAGAAATACACCGTACCTGTGCGATGAGAAACATTAGTTGGAAATGTTAGCTTAAAACGGGTTAGAACTTTAGTAAAACCGAAAATTTTTACCTAAAGTCATCGATTTGAATTAAGATAACAAACTACACACGCATATCAAACAATAACTTACGTACCCAGGCTGCAGGATGTTACACAAAGCTAACAAACATCTTGAGGAAAGAAACTTCATGAACTGTATTACATGAAGTAGTTTGAATAATGCACCGAAAAAAAGTAATGCAGTCAATCGATAGAAATTCAATAGGCAAGTTTTACTGCACAGAGCCCGATCAAGAGGTCTTAGTCGCAGCAGAAAAATATACAACCCAACACACAAATCAGAAGCTCGCGAATCTATACGAAGGAAACGCGAATTTCCTGTATTAATATCCACACCATAGAAAATCTACAATACTAGCGAAATGGCAGGTCAGCTTGAAGACTAGTTGTATAGGAAAAAACGCACTAGCATGCAGTAAGCCGAACTTAAACCAAGCCGCATCCGCCCAACAAGAATGCGTTGTATACCTCAGGATACGCGCGGGCTGCACAACCTCGGTCTGTGGTAAACCGCCTGAACCTCTGTTGAGCCAATACATGATTACAGCTCGGCTTCAGACCGGCCCGGTCTAAAACTTAACTTAACCTACTCATGGACCTACTCCTACATTTACTTTCTAACTCGCGTATCTCCATACGTATATATTTCCGACATTGCACGTTGTTACGAAAATTAGGGCTGCTTTTCTTGTAAAGGATGGAATGGAATCTTATATAGAAGTCATTAAGTGCATCACCTCTGCCGCTTTTGCTAGATGCGACGAAAAATTTGTCTCCCAAGTTTTCTCTTGTCGATTTAATTCTCAAAATGAACATATTTTGGTCATGCGGCAAAAAATATTTACTCAGTGTGAGGTAAATTGTTCCCTTACAAAATAAAAAGAATAATTTGCATACAGTACAGTAGTGAGATGATTATCGTTTGTAAATAACGCAATTTTAAGCCTTGACAAGATCTTGATATTTTACATCAAATTTTACATCACACTAATTAACAATAATACCAATAACCCTAAAAAACAGACTAGCAGCAAAACTGGGTCGTCATTAAAAATTTGCCTTTGACATTACGGAAGTAAATGAATATTTTAATGAACTGCAAGACGTTACGACTGACCTGATGGCAGAGTGGCGACCAGCGCTGGGGCTGACAGCTCTGCCGTCAGACGAGACAGCGTCCAATGTGGGCTGAACAGGAGCCTGAGAATACAGATAAATTGAACTAATAAAACCTAAATTTTATATGGCAAAATAATTTTTGGCAACAACACATAAATTTCATACGGCCAAATAATTTTTGTCAACAACACCTAAATTTTATATGGCAAAATAATTTTTGGCAACAACACATAAATTTCATATGGCAAAATAATTTTNAGGCCGTAGGCCTGTCGCCGATTCTTAACATCGCAGAACATTCACAGCATTTTGCGGTCTCGAACTCGCAACTCACTGCTACAATTCTGCTGTGCTTAACCGCCCGGCCTCCTTGCCGATTCTGAACAGAAACTGTCGAACAGAGCTGGGATCGAACCCGCGCCTCTCCAGTGCGTCAATCTTGGTACTCTGAACTTTAACCACTGAGCCACCTTCCATTGCCACACTCACACAAATACACACACACACAAACAGACACACACACAAACACACACCTTCCCACGCAGGGGTGACAGCAGCGTTGGGAGAGGCAGCAGCCACAGAGGCAGCGGTCTGGTGTTCGTCCATGCGGTCGCTGGTGCGGCGGAGAGTAGCACTCGACCGACGCGTGCTGCTCGTGTTGTGCTGCTCGTGACTAGGGTACAGCTCGCTGCAACAAGCCACGGTAATTGCATGAGTTTCCATTACGAACGGCATTCAGAGAGGTTTCGGAATAACATTTATAGATAAGAACGATATAAAAATATGATAAAGTTTTCTAGACGGTCAAACATAACAGTGCAGTTTAATAGTGTTGATATTGAGGAACAAAGAGTTGTAAGAATTTGTTTCTGCATTATCTGGAAAGAAATGCAGAAGAAAGTCCTCTAATAATGGTCAGCAATGAGGTCGTTCTTGACTGGAATCTCACCGTTTGCTAGTAAGAATGAGATAAAATTTGAGAAAGAGAGTTTGGTCGTCGTTGACAGCATTGGCTTCTTGAGCATCAAGCTCCTGCTGGAGTGGTGCCATGACCCTGTCCTGCGTGGCTGTGGTGGTGCCGCAGCTCGACGTGAACTCCTCCTCGTGCGACGCGCCTCGCATTTTGCTCGTGTCGCGAGCCACGAGCAGAATGGCCTCGTATTCCTCAGCGAGCTTAGGGTAGTTCGGCAGCTGACGCGTGTAGCACGTGTGTACGTGCACCAGCACGTACTCCGTCTCGTGCTGCACGGAAAAGCAGGTGCAAGTTGTTGCTTTTAGAAGACCATTATTCGTGGGTAGCGTGAGCAAAAAAAGGCAAATTGGGTCACCAGCAACAAATTTTTGCCAGATGATAATGATGTTTTGCGAGAAAAACACGTGCTTCATTCAGGAATAAAATCTCGACCAAAGCAGTAGTTAGCCAACGACGATTCAAATGAAATGACGAGTGAGCTCTGAGGAGTGCAAAGTTGAGGAATGAATTATTTCGTGGAGACTATAATGAACCAACCATGTCCTGCGATTCATCTTTTTGGTAGAGACTATAATGAACCAACCATGTCTTGCGAGTCATCTCTTTGGTGGAGACTATAATGAACCAACCATGTCCTGCGAGTCATCAGTGTTGGTAGGGACCATCCTCATGACGGCCATGTGGTACTGCTTCTCCTTGGACAGCAAGTAGTTGTAGAGCTGCTCAGGGGACACGCCCGTGTTGGGGATGCTCACGCCTCCTGTACTCAGTGATATCAAATTACTATTTTATTATAATTAATTGATCACATAACAAATTAATTATGATGGTTTGAATTCCACACTATTACGAATCACATCACAAATTCATTTCACAACAATTTCAGCGATTTTGAGGTTATTTTTCATTTTTATTTTTCGTTATTTTTCAGTGTTATTTGGAATAAACCCTATAGAGCCTCGACAAGTGTTACCATTCTTGGTAATTATTCACAAAGACTGCCGTAATTCACTATAGAAAAACGCACACTGACGAAACCAAAATTGACAGGAGGTGCTATTTGTGCTTGCATTCTTGACGCGTTTCTCACCAGAATAGATCATATTGCGAGCGAAGTTAGCGGCTTTCTTGTAGTAATGCGTGAAGTTCGCTAGGAAGGCAGAGAGATGATAGCCTCTGTTGAAGATGAGCTGGCGCTGAGCGAGGTAACCGCCAAGAGTGCGGAGGTGAAAGTCGTGAGCAAACGAATGAAGATGAAGCAAGACGCGCACGTTCTCCACTTTGCTCAGGAACTGGTTCATCGCAAACTGTCATAGCGCAAAAATTTCAATAAATTGACAAAATTTCGCATGCTAACGCGTAATGGTATCATTTTAAATTTCAAGGTTATTCTTCGTGTGACAATTTTATGTTAATAGGTTAGGTATTATTCAAATCTAGCATTATTTCAGAACATTGAACGCAAAACCGATGAAAGCGAGTGGGACCAGAATTTTCTGCAATTTCACTGAAACAATCAATTAACGGAAAATTAATCAAACACTCTTGTTTGAAATGACGGCAATTTTAGCCCTAAGTAATAAAGCTACAGAAAATAAGTTTTCATTAAATAAGTGTCAAAATTTTCGTAACGTAGAAGTAATAGTAGTAGTGGGTTTCTAGCGCTTCAACAAAGAAAAACTCTAAGACAGGTTAGTTACGTTGAAAGCTAACCTGCTGTGGCATGACGCCAGGTCTACGTCTAAGCTTGGATTTGTCGAGCGTATACAAGGAAGCGCAGAAGAAGGGCTCCTGGAAGAAGAGCTTGAGGATGATGGCGCAGCTGCTGTCCCGCAGCGACAGCATCAAGAAAGTGCTCGACGGCAGGTCGTCCGACCCTCGAGACCCGGAATACGTTCTGAAGCAGGCGGTGAAAATCATAGTTTCTCAGCTGTCATTTAATATCACGGAGTTAAGTCAGATTGTTGACAATTTAAGAGTGTTTTGCGTAATAGCCAAAGCAATCCAGATCACAAATTTTTCCAGGCAGCTAACAGTAAGAAAATTCTTCTTAAACACATTCAATATTCGAGAGCAAACTAACAACACACCAACAATTTTCATTCTTTGGCGAGTGTCCCTCTCGCCATGGACCAAAAAGTTTCCTTCTTTCCAGCAAATAGTGTTGACAACATTTACTAAAGCTTCTTCCTAATAACGAACAGAAAATTTTCCTCTCGAAAAAAGACAAATCGCAGATATTGGTTACTTATAAATTAAATTGTATCCAACAAAGATAAAGACCCAGAAACTACTGCATCAAAGCTGGAGAAGTGCAGTAGATAAACAATTTTTCAGTTGAGAGTGATGGCCTCACTTGTCATGATGAGACTGAAGAGAGCTGTGTTTTGGAAGTGTCTTGAAGCCGTGACTCTGCAGGTATTGGATGTACTCCTTGAGCAAACTCGTGCACAGCACCTGGTGCCATCTGTCGTCACCGCTGCTCCCGGTAGGATGCCGACGACGACCTAAACATAATATTGCCATAGAGACTTGGATGTGGCCGACATATGAGGATTAAAATATGAAACATTGTTGAGTATGTGAACACGATATATTTTGCTAGCATCAAAATTTCATGTCATTCATCAGCAAAAAAAAAAAAATCACAGTAAATTGCACAAAATAGATCAAGAATAATAATAAGGGTCGGTACAAGGCAGACCGGGGAACCCCAACAACAACAATAATAATATAGGAATAATCGAATAATAGGATTCTGGGTTACAATTCTTCTAGGTATTTATATTCTTCTAAGATCTATTCTAACCTCTAGGCACTTCATAATTCCCGATCAATACCTGATATGTTAAGAGGGTCAGCAGCAGAAGTGGTGGTGTAAGCAGCAGTAGAAGAGGAGGTACACTGAGGGAGGGGAGCTCGGGATGACACGAGAGGGTTGGGCGTGAGGGAAGTGACAGAGCCGCGTCGCAACTCCAGCAGCGACTGCCGGAGAGATGGACTAGACTCTTGCCGATGCCGGTCCAGTACCTGCGAGACATTGTCGCTTAGTGATGTGTTCAGGAATTTAAACTCTAACTGTGGGCGGTAAGATGCAAGCTTAAGAATTTTCGTACTATAGATGTGATGAGGGAAGGGGGGAATAAATTTGACGAGGTATAGAAAATATGCAACGAAATTAGGATCCAAAGATGGCCAAAGACATTACTGGACGTGGTATTGTTTACATGAAAAATTTAATCGGTGAAGCAGATAAATTCGTTATTAGCACGATTTGAAAAGCCGAGGTAAAGAGCATAAAAAGACAAGTTAGCAGCATGCGAGGAAGGTGGGCACTGACCGGAGTTTTGGGCAGCGGTTTATCAGCAGGTGTGAGTGCGTGGTCGCGTGTAGCCGCCACCAGGTCGCGCCATCTGTACACACAATGAGTAAATGATTCTAGAGTCAGAATCTCACGAACACAAAACAAATTATTTCAACGAATTTATACTACTAAATTTCAACGAAGAATCTAAGATTTAAATTATGGTCGAGTATCGGTTTCAAAATTTTAACCAATTTTGGGCAAAGTTAGTGTTTATTTGGTTCGTGGTTTTGAAAACAAGAATTTTATACCAATAACCAATAATAAAAAATGTAGAGAATAATTTCCCTAAAAAAATCCACGATTCAAAACACAGCAGAACAGCCCTTACTAATTTTTCACAAGAGTATCACTGTTTGAAGAATCACAAATTTCCATTGTACTATAAGAATTGTTGAGCAATGATTAACAGCGAAAAAGTGTATACAAAATCACTCAGCAGGAAGGAGAACTTAGTCCTAAAAACGTAACAAAAGTGCTAAAAAAATAGCATTCAATGGAATTCAGGTGATCGAGCAAATCAATAAATGTACATCAGTAACAAGAAATAGAGACAAAGAACACACACGAAATATTAAAATTTAAACACCACAGGAACACACGAGAAATATTAAAATTTAACAAGCACTGCAAGTAAAGAACCTTGGCAGGAAGAGTAGAGGGGAATAAATGAAGTGGTACAAGGTGGCGTGTCGTAGCACCAGCGACAAGGTCTTGTCGTCGAGGACAGGTAAGCTGTTGGCCGCCGTGCTGCTCGCGCACACCATCACCTCGCCCAGGCGCATGCGCACCTCGTCTGTAAATAACAATCTTGAGTTACCCAATCAAATAGAGCATCTTGCTTTCCATTTTTGAATAAAACTAGTTAACCCCGTAAAGCCCCGCAAAACTGATCTATCTACTAGTGAACTAGTGTATTGTTAGTGTAGATGAAGCAAAAATATAACTCAGTACTCACTGCAGTGAGTGACAGAGAGCGCATTTTCTCGTCGACGAAAACGTGAAGTCACGGACAGACGGACGGACGCATAAATGAGGAAATGCGCTAAAAATATTCATTTTAATGAGTAAGTAAATCACCCCTGTCACTGTTAGCCGCAGCCTGGGCAATAAGCTGAGCGCCGTGTGTCTTGAGCGGGTCGCTGGGAGACGTCGTCCTCTCAGGGCCGTAGAGAGGGACGCTGGGGCGCCCTTTGTACATGAACGATGCTCCGTAGCTGCTGGCCATGTACGATGTGGACGCGGGCACCTCACGCTTCATCTGCAACATAATTATTCGTGAGACGCAATATGGTAGCCGATATGCCGGTGCTTGTAAAAAATTATTCATGTTAATCTTATTCTATTTTTGATGATTACACAAAAAAAATTGAACTGTAGTCCTCTCTTGATGGCGCTGCGTTGGATTATGAGATCAAATATAAATTTGGATCACCAGATAAATACTAACTCTCACCTTCTTTTTGAGCAACTGTTGTTGCTGCTGTTGCTGAGATCCGAACCGCTGCCGGTGCAAGAACTTGAGCTGCTGTTGCTGAGAGGCAAACTTGAGGGGCGGCTGCATGGAAGGCCCGCCGACCCTCGTCATCTTCTGCTGCTGCATCACGGATGCCGTAAGGTCCTTGCCGGGCGCCGGCTGCTTGATGAGACGCTCCAGGAGCTGCACGTTGTTCAAGAATGGGTTTTCTGGGACCTTGCTCGGGCTTGTGATAGCCGAGTTACAAGACAAAGTGAGACCGCTCGTAGAGGCTTCTTTCTTTGTAACATCAACCCCGTACATTTTATTCCTGCTTCTATGCAGAACCGCTGTTGATTCAGAAGCACTTTCACTTTGAGTGGGAATTTTTGCAAGTCTGGAGCCAGACATGGGAATGTTATCATCAGTTTCTGAGCTGCGGCAGAATGGCTGGTCGACGAAGAATCCAAGTTTCTGCAATGCGATGGATGAGAGCAACGCATGCCTGGCGGTGGTCCACTGCAGGGCAAGCGTCATGTGGTCGTGGAGACGCACGGCGCTGTCACGGGACCAGTTGTACAGCAGCACGCACACCTGCACGCCAGCAAACATATTAAAAAAAATATCGCTGCTGACTCTGGAGCTCGCAATCGATTAGCGGTCAATTTGTACCTATTTGAGATAATTTGTAGCGTTAACACAATAAAGTAGATTATATAATTATTCATTGAAAACAAATCTTTGAAGGGTTGTACTGGCCAACTAATATCTTAAAGTTAATCGAAAAAGTCGGGAACTACTTAACATGATAAGAAAATTCTTTGCAGAACACTGCACTAACTGAACAGGAATAGCTAATACACTAACTACAGTCAGAAAAATAGGTGCAACCAAGAAAAATTTATATTTACGTTTGAGGTTGAGTATCACGAAAACTGGCACTAACTCTATTTGAAATGAATAATTTATTCTTTTAAACATATCATAATTTAATGGAAGAAACATTTAAAAATTTCACAGCCAGCACTCACGTTATTTTTCTCGACAAAAGCAGCAAGCAGCGTGTGACGAGGCAGTATAAGCGAGCCTGAAATTACTTCAGGTGTCACTTCGGTAACAGTAGAGGCCGTAGTGCTGCTGCTCTCGTGTCGATATTTGGCTTCAGCATTGCCGCCGGAAGCACGAGAAGAGTTCGGTCCAGAAACATCGGATTGAGCACTACTTTTCCCTGCTTCGTTCCCAGCAGCACTGGACACTGGATTACTGCTGCCGGGTGACAAAGCACGGGTCACAACACCGCTAGGTGACGTGATCGCAAGGTTGCTACGAACGATAACGTCGCTTGTTGAAATACCAGTGGCGCTCGAAGTAGGTGCAATCGTAGTGACAGCGACGGCAGAATCCCTACGCGCACGTAAATTCGAATTACCGCCGGCAGTGACCGAGGTATCGTGGGATGAGGAAGTCGATACGCTTGGCAGCGACTGATGCAAACTTTGCTGCTGAGTTAGCAGGTGCAGGCGAGGAGGAACGGCAGGCGAAGCAGAGTAGCATGGGTGACAAGCGCGAGTCCGAACTGGAGAAGAGGATCTCACGAAGTTTGGTGCTTGGATGGTTGAAGTAGCGGTGCTTGGGATTATGGAAGTGCAAGTAGTTGGTGCAGTCATATTATGTTCCGTGTGATGCTTCACTGGCATAAACATCGGGTGGAAAAGTTGGCTGGTGCGGTGACCTGGACGAAGAGAACGAGGCTAGTGAGTGAAAGGCAATACAAATAATTGTTTTAGGCAGTCTATCAACATTAAAGCCATGATGCTCGGAAATAATATTGAAGGTCTATTTCGTCTTTCAAAAAGAACTCTACGTGGATAGGTTCATACTGTTTGACAATGAATACTAATGTTCTTGATCTGATGGAAAATTTTTATTTTAGGCAGTATTTAATTTAAAAGTGTACGATATTTATTTAATAGCAAAATGTCATAAAAAATAGCGTACACTTCAGTTACTAAATTGATATAATTGTAAGAGAGAGCGAAAGGGGATTATACGCAAATTGAATGTATTGAACAGATTTTTGGCAAATATGCTTAAAAAATCCGGTCTCTACTTCACGGATGTTCGAATGTTGCCCGTGGTTTTTGAGGTTTTCAAAAGAATCACAAAACAATGAGGCTTCCGCAACGACAAGATTGGACGGAATCATGAAATGCAAAAACCAACGAAATGAGAATTTTGAGTAGCCTGATGAAGTTGTACTTCTTGCGGGGAAATGAACTGACCGTCTAGTGCGGAGGTCGGGGCATCAGCGTCGGTGATGGAATTGGCAGGACTACGGGCGAAGAGCAGACACTCGTGCGTCAGCTCCTGACGGGGACAGACTTCGGTTGTGCACCGGAACTCTTGCTTGCTTGGCTGCACATGTGGCAAATAAGAGAATCATTATAGCTCAAAATATTTCAATTATCACATTTCAGTTAGAAAAAAACTTTTATGAGTGAAGTAATTGAAAAAAATAACATGCAAAAAAATAAAAAATATGTAAAAAAAAATAAAAAATAACATGTCCGTCCGTCAGTCTGTCTGTCCGTGACTTCACGGTTTCGTCGACGAGAAAATGCTCTCTCTGTCACTCACTGCAGTGAGTATTGAGCTATACTTTTTTATTTATCAGCCAAGGGAGTGAAGGAATACTTGAAGAACTAGGATGTTTGAAAATCAGATTTTTTCAAAATTCACGTTCCACGTGTTATGAAAGTCTCAAATTAGAAGTAAGGCAAAAAATATATATATTTATCCGATTTTCTAGAGCGAAAAGAGGCATCAGGAGTTGAGAAAATATATTAAACTAAAATTAAAATAAACTCACAGTGTAGTTGGGGACAAAGAGATACGTGTACTCCTGAATAGGTCGGTCACGGTGAAGCCTGGCCTCCTGCTCGCATACGTCCAAGGCGAAACGCATAGTTACTCGATGATTGCATATTTTCTCAGTAGTCTCAGATTGCCGACGTTTACTGGCACTGCCGGATTTAGCCGCTGTTTTGGATTGCGCCCTCCGCGATTCCTGAGACGGACGGTTATTCAAAGCAGTGTTGTCATGCAGAGTACTCCGTTTCTGAGATGGACGATGATCGAGACGTGAGTGAATACGTCGTCGAATTCCCTTGGTCACCTGAGACCGAAGCTCCGACAGCGACGTGCGCTGGTAGCAAGACAACGGCGAGTCCTGCGAGTGGACTGACAGCCATCGCTGTAGCTCGTCCAAAAATGCACTCACGCTTCCGCTGTAATAAGAAAATTAGTAGTTTGATGTTAATCAATTGTTAAAATATCAGAATGTACTTCAGAAATTTGCAAGAACTGATTGATGTGAATTCCCGAGGAATAATCAAACAATGAACTATAAAATAATATTATAAAATAATTGAACACAAATCCTTGGTACTGAACACTATATAATCTTCAGATAGTACACTATTATTCACACTTGTCCACATGAACACTATAAAATCTTCACATTGTTCATTAATGTTCACACTTGCCCACTATGAGATACCTTACATGGGACCAATATGTCAATACCTGTTAGGAAGAGCATAGCAGAAGGTCGTGACGGAAGGCACGGCAATAGAAGCCCCAAATTGCAGCCACGGCACGACAACCCTGGCGTACTGCACGTCGAGCTCTCGCTGGCTCAGCACCTCTAACATCTCGCGCTCCACAGCAATGGCTTCATCTTCCTCAGTCTCATCTCCCTCGTCGAGCTGTGAATCCTCGTCATCTTGGTCTGCTGGTCCAGCACATGACGTGACGTAGGACGAGGCGGGATTACTTGAGGTCGCCATGACGTGTCTCAGAGAGACGACAGCCGCATCGTCCCTCGTCACCCCTTCTGCAGGATGCCCAATGCGGCCGCGGCTAATGTGTTCCTGATGATATTTTGAGGGCCAATAGGACGTGGATAAATAATCATACTGATGAAACTGAATAATTTTGACGATAAATAAGAGAAAGAATAATAAAAATAATATTGTCTATTTAAGCCAGCAGGAAAGTATGTTAACAGGAAAATTGAGAAAGAAAAAAAAATAAACATGAACGCAATTGACAGTTCTAGTAGAAATAAAAAGAACTCTAAAGAACCAAAAAATATTTATAAACAAAAACAGACGCAATAGGACTTTTCATTGTTTTTTTGGTATTTGAGAAGCGTAGTTCCTAGAACAAGAAGATATGATCCTTCGTACCCAAATCATGATTTGGGTATGATTTATTAAAAAAAAAAATTTCAGAACATACACCGTGAAAAAGACTTCAATTGAACATTCCAACAATCAGTAGGTCTCTTGAAAATAACATGAAAATTCAATATAAATTAAATAAAACTAATGAAACTGAGGCAAGCAAGGGTAAGGGTAATAGGGAGGCTAAGCAAAGCATCTAAACTGTACAAGGCTTCCTGTGTAAATATAGCGAGCACCGACCAAGTCTTAGGAAACCAATAAAAGGCCTCACACTTCCAAAAAGCATGAAAGCTTTTACACTTGCCATGCGTTACGCGCCTAATAAGCAGTTATAAAAGGTAAAAAACTACAAGCGTAACAGAAATCGAACGTTAAAGACAGAAAGTTTATTATAAACAAAGTAATAAATTTCCGATGAAAGTACCGAGAAGAATGCGGGATTCTTTGGTAGAATCCAGCGTAGTGGCAATATGGATTCTAACCAAGCGTGAAGTCTAATAAATTAAGAGGCTGAAGTTATTTTACATTCCACACAAGTATTTTAGGTTGCGTTAGTAAGGGTAGGATCCGTAACCGATCGATAGCAAACTAATACCAGAATTCGGTAAATAACTCTTGCTCTGTTCTTCTGTAGCCGCATGACCGACAACGAAAGATGGCATTCAGCCTAATATATAAGGATACAATGAACAAAGAAGATACGCCATGCAGCCTATAAGCTACGATCCTATGGATATAAAATGCAGGATCCTATTAGCAAGGATGCAACATAAAGCATAACAGATCATCATGCAAAGGAGCCGGTGTGCTGCTACTCAAACGAAACCGACTACGTCGTCTTGTGGCTACGACGACCGCAAGCTCAAAGCTTGCAAGAAGCCTTGCCGTGCTCTGTTTCGTACTTAGAAACTCGATAAAATAACCATAAGCTTACCGTTTGAAGGTGAGTGAGGGAAACAAGTTATTTCTTTACCATATTTAAATAAAGAGATTCCTTTTTGAGGCAGGACTTTTTGAGTTCGCAGGACGCGCGATGTAAACGGACAGCTGACACTTGTCGACGGTCTACAGTTTCTCTTGTGTTCAGCAATTCAATACTTGTTCCTAATCGAATTCCATCTAATACAAATCGATGAGTTGTGGAGATTTAGTACGAGAGCGCACTATGATTTATCGCAAACATTATGAAAACCGTAAGCATATAGATGTTTACTGTAGCCAGGAATGTGCTTGAACGACGATTGTACGGAGATTGAACCTCATAACTGGTTGACCGAAAGTACGTTACCTGCGGACCAATAATGGACTTTCATGTATACATGCATGTTAATGAAGTTGACTGTCAGTGCGGTTGAGGCAGGAATGGCCTAATAATCTAAAACATGCTTCCATAGTGTAAATATCCTCGTTAATTTCCAGGTTCAAATAGTAGGTAACTTTAAAAGCCCACATGATGGATGTCTTCCAAACATTCAACCAAACACAATTATTCCAAGTCAAGGTTTGTTCTAGTGTTCTCCCCGCAGTGGTAAAACAGACGTCATTCAAGTATTACTAAGCGTCTTTCAGTATTTTAGCTTCTAGAGCTAAAAAGTCACCATTATATCATATTTCATCCCACTGACCCAAGACAACTGCTGCATTATCCTTTTTTTCTGCCGTATATTACAATGGAGCAGTCAATGGACCTCTAAAACAAAAACGATATGCGAAATTTCCACGCTTCAATCCCAAATAACAAGATATTTCACATTTAGATTCGATATCTATTAGCATGTACCTTGGAGCCATTAATCACTGGTCAAATATCATGGAGTGAGAGTCGATCTGTATATATAAATAAACAAATCGTATAGTGTCGAGATTGATGGCTGACCATCATATTTCGTATTGCCTTTCTGTTACGCTGTCACTATCACACTTGAATTGCTCGTACGTCACCAGTGTACGTCACCCGGGGTTTATAACGCATGGGTACCCACAATATTGTCCACCCAAATCACCGAACGATTGCCAAGACCAGCCACATGAATGGCTAAGATCAAATGACGCTTGGTGGTTACCCTTCGCATCTCAGGCAAGACACACGGGGTGGAGGCCCTCCGAGACTCTAGGAGGCCAGAGTACGGAAGCTTCGTGTTGCCAATCGCTGCTGTGGTCGTGGCAACTGAACCACGACGTGGGTGCTGGGGAGCTATGCGTGACGACGGCAACAGTGAGTAACGCCGCTGTAAAGCCTGGTTCAATGATGAAAAAACTGTACATTTGCGTAGCGATCAAATGGGTTAAAAGTTGCAAGACCAGGGGGAAGGAGGTTTCGATTAGTTATTGGTTACATGGAAGCAGGCAAAGAATTGTACAGTAAGCCATCATTACAAACTGCAAGATACATCAGCAAATAGATAACAAGATGGAAATTATGCTCAGGTTAGTGTTATATACGCTAATTAGCATAAAATAATGAGATCTAACGAGCTTGAAGGGTTTTAGGAGAAGCGAATAAACTCTTAAGATAAAATAAATAGAATTCAATATAAGTTAAGAATTAAACGTGCCTCTTCAGGCAAAATTATTACGATGCATCAGGTAAAGGTAAGCTGCCGGGACAAATTTGCAAACGCGTGAAACTTTAAAGAGAAGTTAGTTAATTTGCAGAAATATTGCTTTGTGCAGCAGTATTGTATTGAACAAGTCTTCCAGCAGATGAAACATTCCAAGAATTTGCATTTTTTCAAGTGCGTGAAAAATATCGTATTCTTCGGCGATGAATGAAATCAAGTTTAGTTGTTCTAAATTTGTTAGCAAACCCTCAAAATATCTCTTACTACTTGCATACCAAGAAAAAAATTAGATCAGTACTCACTGCAGTGAGTTACAGAGAGCGCATTTTCTCGTCCGTCCCTGAAGTCACGGACAGACAGACGGACGGACGGAAATGACGAGCACAATGGAGCCTTTTTTACATAAATGAGAAAATGAGTTATAAATAATAAAACTTTTAGAATACTAACAGATTGCCGCATAATTTAAGTCGATTTTTTACATCAAAAGAGTGACACAGCTCTTTGAAATTTTACTGACAATGTCACAGAAATTCTCGGAATATTATATCGGCTAGGTTAGTGGGACCGAGCAAGGAAATATTACTAAATTTCAATGCAGGAAAATTCTCTTTCTAATTTTGGCCAGCAATAATTTCCAGTGGATTGTGGAGTTGATAGATTATCTTTCAAATTTGACCATTCATTAAATAGTAATGCATGAACAGTGTTTAGTTACAAGGGAAGAATAATCGAAGAAGCCACGTGCTTCTATTATTTTGAAGACTTCTATAAATATAAGAGATTCTGAAAATCTTGAGTAACGTGAAATTATTGAGTTCTGCAAAAGTTATTATACACAAAATTCAAATTGATACCGTAGTTCAAAAAATAGCTCAGTTGGGTCACTCGAGATTAAATAAACCTGTGTACCATCTAATACTTATTGTTTTAATCTATGGTGAATGAACCTAATTTCAATTTCACTGTACAGTAAAGTTGATTCGAAAGTATATATATTCAATAAATGAACTAAAGCCTCTCATGCACATGCGCTTTATCCCATGAATAAGAAAATTATTTACGAAACAGAGCAACAATTGAGAAGTTTTTTTTAACAACAAATTCAACAAACAAGGTTTCGAACTCCCGACCAGGCAACGATTATTAGAAAGTTAGTAAGTTAGTACATTTCGAACGTGCCACACTTCCTGCTGATCATAAAATTGATTGCTATTTTACGAGGTAAGTTTAGAGAGCGTTTCAAAAAGACAACCTTTGAAAACAATTAAAATAATTCTCCACATACTTTATTCGCGGAACTTCAATGCGTGCTGACAGATTTTACAAGCATGCATCAACGATGATTAGAGAAATTCCCGAGATGATTATCTATACATTGGAAGAAAAGCGAAATGAAAAAATACCAAGATGTTGGCTGAAATGAGGAGTGAACTGAACAGCTGAAGTAAAGAGATCCAAGCAAATCCACGTTTACATTAGTAAGTATTACATTACATTAGTTTACATTTGTATTGATACAATACACAGGATATCGTAAACTAATTTCTTGAACTAATCGCCCGGAAATTCCTATCAAAGCCTCATTAGTTTTAGAAAAATTGTTTCGGGATCTGACATAGAACGTTATCGAGACCAGCAGGGAAATTACAAGATAAGCTAACAATTATAACGCGAAAAATTAAACGTAAGAATAATGTTAAGGTGACTCACGAGAGAGGCGGGTGGACCGCTCAGCAGTCGGCCGCGTGAGGTCGAACTGAGAGGGTCGCCGGCGCTGCGCTCATCGCCTGCCGAGGGAAAAATTAATAGACCTGGGCAACTTTTAAGAAGAAGATAATGAACAGTAGATATAATT